TATAATTTGCCCCATACAATATTGTATGAATATATATTTGATAAACCCACAAAGCTTTAGGTAGTTATATAACAAATTCATTATATTGTTGAACGCTTTAATGATAAACTGACATTCTTTATGCAATAACTCATCGATACTTATGTATAGAATTGGATGTTTGCTTTATGCAATAACTCATCGATACTTAATTTAAACATAGGATATTTTCATCAATACTATTAAGGTATGTGTACAACTATAATGGAATATTTTTGTATATTTATAGTATTAAATGTAATAAGTGTTTAAAGGACATATATCTAAGTATTTATTCGTACGATATTTAGCAATACCATATAAATTCCAAATTATGTTCTACTCTTATTCAGTGATTTTTTAAAATTTCTTAAATATTATAGGCTTTGTTATTATAATATTCACTTTACTATCCTGAGTATCTTACCTATATTCTCTAAATCCTACATCGTCGGAGATTAAAAAAATTTTCACCACTATTTAAGTAATATTTTAGAAGGCATACAGTAAAGTTCTAATTACTATTGTTTGATATTATGTTTGGCTACGACTACATTTCAGATTTGAACACTCATACCTCAGACTGGAAGATTCGAGTTAAGATCGTTCGGAAGTGGAAGGAATAGATTCAACATGACGGTGCCACTCTTATGCTTATTTTTTCTGATCCAAAGGTTACTTCAATATAATATCTTACTATATGAATTTATTGTTTTGTTGCGTATACTACTGAACTAATATTATATTTGTTCATAAACTTTTTATTTGTATTGTGTTAGAGACATACTATAGAAGCCCGAGTGAACAAAAAAATCATTAATCATTTGATTGTTTGCTGGTTGAAAATCAATGGTATGATATTGAAGATTTTGGAGTAATCCTTAGCCGTGAAGACAATTCAGCATCAACAGTATTCATATAATGTTATTTATTGTGTCTACAGTCGTCACAAAAATTGAGAAATTTCAAGTGAGTTCACCTCAGTCTAATTTTGAATCTATTGAACTCCATATGCTTATGTATGAGAACTTTTTATTTAATTTTCAGCTATCCAAACAAGCTTGATGGGAAGACGATGTATTTTTTAGGATAAAATTAGAATTTTAATATTTAGATTCTGTATTTTTTTGTTTTCTGGTAACTTATTATGCTATAATTTCTCGATATAATTATTTCTGATCGATTCTCTCTTGTGTTATACCTATTATTTTAAAAATCAAATGATCACATACATATAATTACAATTTATGTTCAATTAATATATTGTATGTTAACGTATATAAAACAGGTGTTCATAATTGCATTACAAAGCGTATGTATGCTACAGAATAAACAGTCATAACGTCAGCTTTTTAACTTCTCAATAGTAATGATTTGTCTCGATAATCGATTGGGGTTGCAATACTAATGAAACCATATAATAAATTGAATAAATATGATTTATTATATGATGAGGATAATAACCAGTAATTAGAAGTATACATATGCATTAATTTTGTTATATATATTTGATATTCTTTGATAATATAGAACTATATAATGTATATGTTAATTATTTTTGTTGTTGTTTAACTATAACAACTTCGTTTGTTCTTTTTATTTAATAATTAGTAAAAAATACTTATAGTAAGATACATTCTGTCACTGATGCTACATATGTAATATACTAGACACTTTATTTTTCTGCATGGTAATCATTACACTAAAGATCAATGCATTTTATATTTCAATTTAAGATAACCAATATAATAAATGAATCATCGCCATTTAATATAATTTTATATTGTTAGGTGTGAAACGGTTATTATATAAGACAGAAACTAAAAACTATAATCATAAACTACTTTCACTCCTAACATATGATAACGAACTAATCAGAGTGATTTTTATTCGATATCTAAAATGTATAACCAATAATTATACTATTTACTCTAATGTATTAAATGTGAATATGAATTTTCCAAAACTGTATGAAATATAAATTTTATATCATGTAAACTACTTTCAGTCCTAACATAGGAAAACGAATATTTATGTATATATTTTGGAATATGAATCTCAAAAAAGATTTGTCATGAATTAATACAATATAGAAAAGTATGTTGCATTCAATTTATATAAACGTCATTAGTTGCTACGATAGGTGTAATCATTATTTTTGTTGTTTAACAAAAAAAAACAAACCTGCGCCAAAATTAATTAGAAGAAATTATCCTTTTCGTTTTTGACGACGGTTCCACTTTATTTATATTCTATTTCAGAGACTATTGCTTAATAGAACAAACAAAATTCCAAAACACGAACTTCTCGAATTATGTCTTACCATGACTTAGTTAGTAAGCTTACGCCATGGAAAGAAAATCCGGTGATACGTGTTGTTATTTACAAAAAAATTGATTGAGAAAGACAGCAGTGGTCGGGATCATGTCGAATTCATATTTGCCGACGAAGAGGTAAATAAGTTGATCTTTTATGCTTGATGAATTTTTGGTGCATGCAAGTAAAAAAATTTGCCCTAATAGTTTTTGTATTTTACAATCTGTAATCATTCTAGGGCTGTAAAATTCTGTGTCTGCTCATAACTGGATCCATGAATATTTTAAGAATGAATGTCACGAAGGAGAATGGTTTGAACTTTGCAATTTTATTGTCAGATCTTCAGACTGGAACAATTGGAAAGAACGCCCAACTAAACATCCTTATAATATCCTTCTTACTCGAGATACCACGCTTGACTTTATACGCGAAGAGCCGGTATCAAATTGGTATTTCTTGAATTTAATCAAATTCGAAGATATTGTGAAGAGAAAAGTGGATCCTGTGTTTCCTATTGGTAATATTTTATTTTCATTATTGATTTATATAGTTTATTTGTTCTTAATAATAATTAGTCCATTATATGTTAGGGAATCATAATGTTATTTTAACTTCTATTCTTTTTTTTTGAAATAGACTTGGTTGGTGTGATCGATTTTGTTGGTGAAATATCCATTGGCAATGACTTTGACTCCATTTCAAGAATCCAGCCAAAGAAAGTTCTTGAATTTCATATAAGAGATCTCGAGTAAGTGTATTTTCTATATGTTATGCAAATTCATTTTTATAAGTATTATTCATTGGTGTTATGTTTACTTTTAAATTTAGGGATGTTGTTATCAAATGTTTTGCCTTTGATAACTGCGCAATTTTTTTTGATAATTCATGGAAATCGAGAAAGACTGATCGCATTTTTGTTCTGTTAACTGAGTGGAGACTTGATCTCTATAAAGGTTAGATACCCCCATGTATTATTATTATTGAATTTGGTATCTGAACTTCTACCAAAGTATATAACGGTGTCAAATACTACAATTATATTTTTCTTTGTAGGTGAACACATTGTCAGAAATGCAGGAGGTCAGTCTCAATTTCTTTTCAACCCAGAGATAACTGAAATTCAAGAGTTTGCGTACATGTAAGCTGTTTTATCTTTATTTTTAAATGAAATCATAATTTATAGTTGCTAACTATTCATACTTATATCAACAGGTTCGTTCTGGCGACAAGAAGTCAAATATCAAACCAGGAAATTAAGATGTGCATATGAAACCGGACTACATTATAGCACATTTTCGTTCAAAGGAGATATGTCCTCCTATTTATATTTATGTTATGAATCTAATTTTTTGAACTTATTAATTTCTATGGCCTTTTTAAAATGGTTGTTTATGTATTTTCGTAAACATATTTTATTTTCATATCTAAATTACTATCTGCTTAAATATTTATCAATGATCGTTAATAAATTATAACGGAGCGTGTGATAGAAATATGAAAATTAAGTTATTAACTAGATTAATTTTACCATTATTATATATACCTTATTATATGAAAAGATATTATTTTGTGATACAAATTGATGGGCTTTTAACTAGAATGTAAGTTATCATATCAAATGATTGTAATACAAATTGATGGGCTTTTATTGAAAAATCTGAAAAACTATCAACAATTTTGCTTTCTATACTATATATACACTTGCAAATTTGCATTTTAATTTGTCCACTTGATTGCTAACATATACTTAAAATCTATATCTCCATATCATAAACATCACACGAATTGATTTTTTTTTTAAATATATATCCATGCGAGTCGTATATTTATTTAACAGAAAAATAAATGGAAAACCGTAATATATGTTGATTGTGGTTCTCAACTATTTAGGGTCGGTTCGGTAATTCGAGTTCGAAAGATTGATTTTATTTAATTAAGTTTCAAGTTTACAGTTCGGAGGTTCGGAGGTTCTCTCGACGAACTAGATACAATAATATTGAGGTCTCTATGTCTCCCGGGTCCGAAAAAGATCCCTTCTACAGTAACTATCCTTCTATTTATAGTACATAAGCGAGGAGAAGATTTAGGGTTTCGCGGTCGACTCTCACCGCCTCTTGTTGATGGGCCTGTCTCCTTATGGGCCATGCTGTCAGGCCAAGCCCATTTCGGCTAAGACTATCGTAAATCAGGATCAATTGGGCCGGTCTCGGTCTTTAACCGGTCCGAAACGGGTAGCGGAGCGTACCACCAACAGTATGTCCCCCCCCCCCCAGTTCGGTAAATGGACCTGACTGACTTTTGCCGAATTGAAGTTGGAGCGGTTAATGACCGAGGTCAGTGACATCAGATTCTCGACTTACACCTCTACTCTTTCCTCTGACGTTTCGGCAAGGGTATTAAGGTATTTTCGCTCACGGGAAACTGAAAAGTTGTGTCGGTTTAGGCAGGAAATCGAGACGTTACGAGGCGCAGAACTCGAGAAGTCGCAATGATTCGCTTTTCTTCTATAAATAGGGCTCAGCTCTCCCCATTTCTTACTTTCGCTCCTACTGCCAAGGTATTTGCTCTCCCTTCTCTCTAAATTTTCTTCTTTCTCTCTCTAGGATTTCCGGTCACCGTCCACCGTGCTCTCTCGTCGACGGTTATTTTTTCGAGCTGCTCCGACAATGTCTTCCGACTCCTCCTCCAACTCTGAAGCCGCTATTCTTCCCGAACACTGTAGGGAGGAAACTTCAACTGACCTCTCGAGCTCGGGATCTACAGAGCATTCTTCGAACGCTTCTTTGGTTCGGAAGAATTCCTGGGTCGTCGAGGTCGGCTCTAGTAGTCGTGTTCCGATTCGAGCTCCGGAGCGGATGGATTGGAATCTCTGCGAGCCCGAGGGCCAGGTTCCCACTGACTTGGTCCCGGGACAGGAGCCTGACGTGAAGACAGATGAGGATGCTATACTGCGTGAGGTTGGGGATGGAGGAGCGCAGGATCCGAACGATGATGATATGATGCCGATCATAGATCGGCCATGCATATGCGCTCCAATGAAGTCTACACTATCATCCCCAGAGACAGTTCGGGCGCTATGTTGATCGGCGGGGCCCCTCCTGGGATCATAATCCAAATTCCCGAACCGGAAGAACGCCCTTGGGATGCTCCTGAGGACTTCATCTGCGTCTACGAGGCATATTTCCGCGAGGCCGGATTGACCTTTCCTCTACCGCGCCTGCTGTTCGCCTACTGCAATCGTCGCGGCTGCGCGATATCACAACTCCAGCCGGCGATGATAGTCAACTTTGTCGGGATTCTCCAGCTCGGGCGTGACATCCATGCTCACATCAACGTTGCCCAGTTCGAGGAACTTTTCATCATGAAGGTCTCGCAAGCCAAGAGTTGGTTTTTGTCGGTGAATTGCAACCCGAAGTTTGACTTGGTCACCGGGAACAAAGCTAGCAAGTTTCCGGACTAGGACAAGAGTTACTTTTTTGTTCGCGTTGACTCATGTTCTGCTGAGAATCCGGAGAGCACGTTCCGGACTGGCTGGAGTGTCGACTTTGGTACATATCTCACGGTTCATCTCTCTGTTCCTTGACTGACTCTAACCGTTTTTTGCTTTGTGCAGATCGCCACGTTCCAGGGTTCCTGCAGCGTTCTCTTACAACTGACTTAGCGAAGCAACTGAGCCTTGCCGGTCAGCATCGTTGGCCCCGAGCTTACCAGGAGAAGATCGATCGGCGGATAAAGAGAGCTCAGGAAAGAGGTGTGAATTCTCGAATCGATCTCCTTAAGTTAATTGTTTAGATCATGGATGATGTGTTTCGTTTTACTTGTAGCTAAAACTAAGGCCGAACCCAGCTCGTCGAGACCGGTACCAAAGAAAAAGAACCCGAGGAAAAGCAGCAAGAAGAGTCGGAGGAGGATGGCTTTTGATAAATCGGACATCCCGATGATGAACTTCGGGGCTGACGAGGAGGACAATGCCCTGATCGACATCGTAGGTCTCGACGGGAACGAGGTCGGAAATGATAATGAAGTCGGTGACAGGAACGAGGTCGACAACGTCCCGGTCGGTCCAGCTGATCCTCTGGTTCCAATTACGGATTCAGAGGTCGAAGCGGTGGGGACTGGCGTTCCTGAGGCAACTCCTAAGCCTTAAATGGAGGAAGGCGAGATTGGTGAGCAGGACGAGGACGACCTCACCATTGCCGACCGCGCTCGGAGGAAGAAGGGCAAGTCCTCAAAGAAATCCTCTCGGAAGAGGGGCAGTGACCCCGAGATGGCCGTGAGCGAGGGGACGCTGGTCCTTCATGGAAGGGACATTGGTGGATCGTCCACCGCTTCTCAGGGTCCTCCCGCGGGTCCGGCAGCCGAGACTGGGAACCCGAGGTCGTCAAAGAGGCGTCGAGTTTCAGACGCGTCATCTTTCTCGGTCCGCCTCAACTACAACAAGGAGCGGTCCTTCTTTGACGACGCTTCTGCCTGCGCCGAGCTCTTCAGGCAGATAGTTTCGGCTTCATCTCCGATGCCCAAGACTAAGGATCTCTTCCATCCCAAGTCTTATGCCCGGGTCGCGAGATCTGCCTCCGCTGTAAGTTTCCTTTTTATTTAGATACTTAGGCATTTTAATTTCGATGCACTTCTGGCCTTATCTTGATTTTCAGCTCGTCTGCGACACCAACGAGCTTGTCAGGGAGTACGATTCTGAGGTCGAGAGGCTGAGGAAGATCAACGCCGAGGTCGCTGCCGAGAGGGCGTCTTTGGAAGTGTCGTACCGAGATGAGAAGGAAAGGTACGAGGCTTCTGTGCTGGCCTTCACCGAGAAGGAAAAGGAGAACATTGCCTTGAAGGAGAAGGTCGGAGCTCTGGAGAAGCGGATTGCCGAGCTGGAGGGGGATATGGATGCTCTGTCCAAGTCGTTCAAAACGAGCGAGCTCGAGAGGTGGAAGTACCGAGACGCCAAGTGAAAGGGCAGAAAGATGATGGCCGCGCTTAGGGGCAAGTGCGAGGGGAAGCTGGCCAAGATGAAGGACTTCATGGACAAGTCCGAGCTCCGGAAGGCGCCGTTCCTCAAGCTCAATCAGGCAACTGCTCTGGTCGGCTTCTGCGACTTCCTCAGGCGAGAGCACAACATGATCGTTCCGCCTCACATCGTGGAGATGTATGGGCGCAGGATCAAGAACTGCACGAAGGAGGGCGATGATGTTCCTCTCCCGCAGCTCAAGAATGAAGACTTCATTCTCCCGAGTGACGACGACCTCATCCCAAGGATCGTGCTTCCGCCAGGATTGCAAGTTCCGGAGGGCTTGGACCAGTTTGGTTCGAATTTCAAGTCCATCTCGGCTGATCGGGCAGTGAGTCTGAAGAGTCCGGCGTCTGTTGCTCGCCAATGAATCCCTTAGTTTTTTTTTTGTTTTATATCATGTTATTCTAGGTTGTAAAGCTATCTCACCTGCACAGTTTGGGTCTTAATGAATTGTTTTGGTCGCCGGTTTTTGGCGTTGTATTGTTGCCGTCTAGTTCGGCAATTTTTCGGGTATTAATGAAATGAGTGCGGTTTTTTACTTAGAATTTTCTTTCCTCGTATTTTATTTGCGAACTGTTGGGAGTTCGGCTCATTTTCATTGAATTTGGAGAGTTCGTGATGTTATTGTGACGATGCGGACGAACTCGAGAGGCTTTTCCGAACTTGAATCGTGGTTGATGGATTGCTATTCGGAAAAGCGAGTGAGGATTGGGTTCCGGCTTTGAATGAGGGGGCATCATGCGGATGCGGGCGAGACTCATCTCGGCTTTTGAAATTGTATTCGTGGGGAATACTTAGTTCGATCTCCTGGCCGGGGAGTCGATGTGTGGAGTTAGTTAAAAAGATGGATTTTATTGGATTTATAGCTGGACTCGAAATCGAGCTGCCTACGTACCCTTTTGCAAGGGATCAAGCCACTCGTAGTTTAGTTTACAAGGGTGAGTTCGGCCGGAGCCGGACTGGTTTTTTTTTTTTTTTTTTTTCGACGCGCTGGTTGCGGTAGAATGATTAGTCCGAGCTCGCGGTGGCTGGGACTTAATAGTAATATCGTTTGAGGTTGGCTGAGTTCCATGATCGCGGGATCGGTGTTGCGTCGAGTTGCATGAGTTCGTATACCCCGGGCTTGACGATTCTCATTATCTGATATGGGCCTTCCCATTTCGTTCCCAGCTTGCCCGCATTTAGCTCCTCGGTGTTGTGGAATACCTTGCGGAGAACGAGGTCGCCTTCGTCGAAGTGTCGGCCTCGCACTTTCTTGTTGTAGTACCGAGCAGCGAGGTTTTGATAGTTCTGGATTCGGAGGAGAGCTAAGCATCGCTGTTCTTCCAAGGTATCAAGGTTGTTGATCATCATCTGGTCGTTGAGATCGGGGTTCTCGGGAAGCACGGAGTATCGTAATGTTGGAATGCTCACTTCTGCCGGACAGAGTGCTTCAAGTCCGTATGCCAAAGAGAAGGGAGATTGTCCGGTCGATCGTCGTGGAGTAGTTCAATGCGACCATAAGACTCCGTCGAGCTCGTCCGCCCAGGTGCCTTTCTTAGCTTCGAGATGCTTCTTTATACCGTCCAGGATGGTCTTGTTAGTCGCCTCGGCCTGACCGTTACCTTGCGGGTAGCGGGGGGTCGAGAAACTAAGACAGATTTTGAATTTAGCGCACCCATCGTTGAACGTTCCAGTGATAAATTGTGGTCTGTTGTCCGTGACGATCTCATGCGGGATCCCGTGTCGGCAAATGAGATACTTCCAAACGAATTTTTGCACGTCCAGTGCGGTGATCTCGGAGTACGCTTCAGCCTCAACCCATTTCGTGAAGTAATCTGTCAAAACCAGGATGTACTGCTTTTGACTTGTTGATCGGCATAAAGGGCCTATGATGTCCATGGCCCACCGCATAAAGGGGTAAGGCGCCGTGCTGGTTTGCAGCAGCTCGGTCGGCACGTTGATTATTGGGCCGGGCCGCTGGCACTTGTCGCATTTCGTGACAAACTTCTCGCAGTCCGCGTTCATCGTCGGCCAGAAATAACTGGCTTTTTTGATTTTCAAGGCGAGAGACCGTCCTCCAGAATGATTACCACCAGATCCTTCGTGGATTTCTCTCATGATTTCGACTGTATCATTTCCGGTGACGCAGGCCAAGAGCACTCCGGAAGCGCTCCAACGGTATAACTTATCTTTATGCATTGTATAATGAGCGGCTCGGACTTTAAGACGGTGAGCAGCCCATTTATCTTCAGGGACTTTGCCGTTGAGAAGGTACTCTCGCAGCTCGGCTGTCCAATCTTCGGTGGGCTCGTTTCCTTGGTTTTCACTGGTCGATGGGCTGTGGATTCCTTCAGTTATGTGTTCGAAATCGTGATCGGCAGCTAGATCTTCAGGAACCTGTTCGGCATTCTTGCTCGTTCGTGCCGGATTCCTGCGTTGCGTATTCGGCGAGGTCGGGTTCGGGTTATCGTCGTAGTTCCGTCGCCGGGTGGCAACGTTGCATTCCTGTGCGGTTTTGATGCTTGGTTCCGAGATGCTTTCGACCGGGATTTTTCTCTTTATATGCGGGTCGGAACTGGAAGCTAGGGCTGCTAACGCTTCGGCAGACTAGTTCTCGCCGCGAGGGATTTTTGTGAGTTCAAACGCCTCAAACTTCGAGATGAGTGCCTTAGTCGTTTTCAGGTATGCATCCATCTGTTCGTTTTTGGTCGTGTACTCGCCACTTAACTGACTTGCGACGAGCTGCGAATCACAGAAGGCGTGAATATGTCGCACGCCGAGCTCCTGGGCTAATCGCAGTCCGGCAAGTTAAGCTTCGTATTCAGACTCATTCTTGGATGCTAGGAACTCAAGGCGGAATGACTGTTCGAGGATCTCGCCATTTGGTGACTTTAGGCGAATTCCGACACCTGATCCCCGATGTGATGATGACCCGTCAACATGTAATGTCCATAGCTCGTGGGGCGGCTGTTCGACGACGAACTCTTTAGGGAGCTCGATCAGAAAATCGGCGAGTACTTGGGATTTTGCACTGGTTCAATTCTTGTATTCTATGTCGTACTCGCTTAGTTCGACGGCCCATTTCGCGAGGCGGCCTGATTGGCTTGGACTGTGTAAAATGGTTCGGAGTGGCTGGTCGGTCAAGACTGTGATCGAATGAGATTGGAAGTATGGCCGAAGTTTCCGAGCAGAAACCACGACTGCGAGCGCCAATTTTTCTAAGGTCGGATATCTGACCTCGGCGTCACTTAGGGATTTGCTGACATAGAATATTGGACGCTGTTCCCCCCTGTCTTCGTGGACTAGAACACTGCTAACCGCCGATGTGGAAATTGCGAGGTATAAGAATAGCATCTCGCCGTTCTCGGGCTTAGCTAGGATGGGGGGAGTCGAGAGATACGTTTTCAGCTGCTTGAAGGCGTCTTCGCACTCGGCGCTCCAAGTATGATGCTTGTTACCTCGTAACAACTGATAGAAAGGCAGGCACTTATCAGTCGACCTGGAGATAAATCTGTTCAGAGCGGCGATCCGGCCTGTGAGTTTTTGCACTTCCCTTTTTGAAGTCGGGGAAGGTAGGTCCAATACCACGGATATCTGCTTTGGGTTTGCCTCGATGCAGCGCTCGGTGACGATGTAACCGAGGAACTCGCCTGCTGTTACGCCGATGGTGCACTTGGCGGGATTGAGTTTCATCCCGTATTCGTTCAGAATGTCGAAACATGTTGATAGGTGCGATATGTGGTCCTTGGCGTACAGGGATTTAACTAGCATGTCGTCAATGTATACCTCCACCGTTTTTCTGAGCTGACTGGCAAACATGCGGTTCACAAGTCTTTGATACGTGGCCCCCGCGTTCTTGAGGCCGAAGGGCATGACCTTATAGCAGTAGATTCCTCGATCTGTGATGAACGAGGTCTTTTCCCGATCATCCGGATGCATTAGTATTTGGTTGTACCCTGAGAAAGCGTCCATGAAAGATAACAGTTCGTTGCCGGCAGTCGCCTCTACCAATCGATCAATGTGTGGTAGTGGAAAACTATCTTTGGGACAAGCTTTGTTCAGGTCGGTGAAGTCGACGCAAATTCTCAATTTTCCATTCTTTTTCTTCACGACTACCGGGTTCGCTAGCCAGTCCGGGTATCAAACCTCCG